CCTAAGGTTTTCGGGGCAAATGTTAAGTTTTATAAAAGACTAACAGGAGGCTCTGCATGTGGCCTCTTTCCATCTCTRCCTCTGCCACTTCCAGCTGAGCTGGATGCTCCTTCTCTCCTCCCTTAAGAGTGGAGCGCTGTCAAGGGCTTCTGGGAGCTCATAAACCTGCTGTTGTTTTTCAAGGAACCAGCTGTTCTTCAGTGGTGATGGGAGATTGTTTTGCACCCATTGGCCCCATAGATCCCTGAGGCTGGAACCTCAGAGGAGTTCCCACAACCTCAGGGGCAGGGTTGCTTTGGAGGCATCTTTTAGTGTCTTGCTTGTGGTTCTCTCACCCTGAAGCTCTCCCTGCTCCCAACAAAACACAAGGCCATACTGATCTATTTTGTTTGCTAAGAAATATTCACAGGCTGAGTTATTTTCCTGTTCTGCTCTCTCTGTAGTCTGCATCCCATTTCTGCGGCTGTGGACAACCTCCTGAAGGAAGTCCAATCAATAAGGAAAAGGCTAGAAGAACTCAATGAGAGGCTCAATATCATCAGCAGGACCATCCTTCCCATACGACTTAACGCCCTGGAGAGCCAGAGACGTGGAAACACTCAGATGCGGAGACTTCCGCTTCATAGGAGAAGACTGTACGTTCGCAGGAAACCTCAGAGGAGTTAATTCTCTGCCAGAGAAAAAGGAACATCTGCACTTTTTTGTTCACCTGCTTAAGCCTTTCTTAATGGGTCACTATTAGACTGAATAAAGCATTTATGACAGTCAGCCTGACTGAGAAGACCAGATGTTGTTGCTGTCTTTCAAGTCCAGGATTGTGGGTCAAATCCAGCTGTGTTCTGCAAAGACAGCTGTTTTGTGTCCCATGCAAAATGAGTTGACAAGCTCAGGATAGCTGAGTGTGAGCACCACTATACTGTACCATCATTCTTTCTGCTTATGAGGCAAAGCTCTTTCTACAAAGATCAGATTAATTTCTGCCTTATTTTCATAGCATTCCATCTGAAACAGCTGAGGAATTTGATCTTCAAAAGTGTTGAACTGCTGATGAATGCAGAAAGGTAGATTAATGCTTGTCTCTGGGTGTGGACAGGGAAAGGAAGGTCTGTTTTAAAATACAGCCTAAACCTTTTCACCATTAGTACAAAGAATGCCCTGTTCACATGTTCAGATGGTGGACAGGGTTGACTATCCTTGGTCAGTGCATAATGTCTCAAGAGGCAAGATGTGTCAGAGTCCAAGAACCAGATTTAAACACTTACCTTCTGCAGAGAGCTTGTTGCAAGTTACCTTGCATTAGTAACTCAAAAGCCTGCATTATCCAACACATACATCTGGACCTTTCCAACAAGCTGTAAAACATCACACTGACTTCTGTCAAGATCCTTAGAAATCAGCGTATGTTTTTTATCAAAGCTATTTAGGTGCCTATTGGCATAGGTATGATGACCAGAGATTTTTTCCAAAAATCTTTTGACCWAAGTTTTTTTTTACTGGCAATGTGAAATATCCAAACTATCACAGATAACCAACTACTCTATCAGTGCCTAACTTATAGAGTATCTTCTGGCCATGCACACATAGACCTGCAGAGATGTACTAGCATCCTTTAGCATGCTTATGATCTGTAGAAAAAGAATATGCAGGCACCCCAGGGATATTTATGTTTCAGAGAGTATTCATAAAATCTTGCCTTAAGCTGCTCTGTGCTTGTAGATTTCTGGTGAAAAAAAAAAAAGATAAATCTGGTAATAAAAACAGGGCAGAAAATGAACCATGCACTTAATGATGGATTGTCAGGGCTTGCCTTTCACATCCCTATAGGTGACTCCAATACAGAGATTCTTATTCAGTATTGCAGTCAACTGTATCCCTGGAAACTGCTAAAARGCAGGTGGGAGAGACAGAGAAGAGAATAAATCTATCTGTTAAAAGTCTGCATAGGGCAATTTATGAGAATTTATGAGAACAAAAATAAAGAATGGATTATGTCTAAATGGTTGCGGGGGAGTCTGGCTTGACAGTTGTTTTGCAAACACWCTCCAGGCATAAATAGTGAAGATGCAGACTAGCTATTCCAGGATTCCCAAGGCCTCAGCATTTGGAAAGAAGTTCAATGACATTAAAATAACCTCAAGAGGAAAGASGGACTACTGGTTTCATATGAAACCCCTGAAAATGAACTGGATGCAACACAGTGAACATTTTGGCTGGAACCTGGGACTTGGGTGGTGGAAGTACGAGGAGTATGAGACAAACTGAAATATATGCTGGGTATAAATTCTCTGAGTCCAGGTTTTCTGAAAATAACAAAACCCTAACTTGGCAGGTCTCCCTTTGGCTTTTGCCTGGGAATTTGAAACATTCCTTAACTAAATCAGAGAAAAATCAAGTCTGTGAAAAGGCTGATAAAAAGATATAGTTGTGCTTTTGGCAAATATGCCATCATAATTTCTCACAAAATGTAGAATATTTTGATTCTATATTTATCAAAAGAACAAAATAGAACAGTAAATAAAATCTCCATCAGCCTCTTCTTTTTTATTCTGTATTCAGAGCTACTAGGCTGTGCTGCAACATCAGCTGTCTGCTTGCAGAGACTATTGATGCCTCTGGGGATGCTTTTTGCACTTTATTGGGGCTGTAGGKGCTGCTGGTCACTTTGGCCTATCTTGATGAAGAGCACAACATAAAAGTCAGCTTTCATTACTTGTTCATGCCTTAGATGTAAGATCTTTTTATTAGGCAACTTGAAGTTGTATAAWATCCATCAAGACAAAGCTAAGATTTCTTGCTTAGAGAAGACCCTTAGTCACAGACCTCTGGAGTCACAAACCAGATCTCTGTGTGCTTTTCCTGCTTGCTCAGATACCCACCAGCAACCTCTGCCACAGACAGAGGATTGGGCAAGATGGACCTGTGGTCTGACCCAGTCCTGCTGTTTGTACAGTGATATGGAAAATTGCTATTTTTGGCAAATAGCCTTAGTGCAACAGAGAAACTTGGTTTGTTTTAAAAGAGAACAAACAAGTTGCAACACACAATGTACATTACAGTTTTGCAATTTATAATGGCAAAGAAAGCTAATTATATAAATATATATATGGTTAATAAGTGGCTAAACCCATGGCCTTGTCATTGCCAATAGCAGTCCCTCTCATTCTCTCTCTGAAAGGCAGCCTCAGACTCCAGCCTCCACGTAAACATAGCCTGTTATAAACTTACACTCCACTCCAAGTAGATTTCATTACTTGATTTTGTCCAGCTGCTTTATTTGTCTTTGCAATAGTATCTCTCTCTCTTTAAAAGTTTTAATGCTACATATCCTCACCATGTTCTTCTTTTGCTAAAGTCATTCACCAACCTGTTTCCCTGCCACTTGCATTTCTGGTAAGGGACCTGGCTGCAGTGCTAAACGGAGCTGGCCAGTCAGGCTGTGAATACACAAAGTCCACGGAGAGACACTAACTATCAGCACCAGCTTTGAAGACCTACCCCGTACCTAAAGCTTAGGAAAATCAGGGAAAGACACGGAGTAGTATTTAATTCAGTGTCTTGAAAGAAGGTAATTACCATCCTCAGACCCGCCCCCCGCCTTAGCTTCTTTTAGCTAAGAAGAAAAGCTAAAGCTTTTTTTAAGCTAGCTTAAAAAGAAAAAAAAAAAGTAACTTTTATAATTTTGTGTCCTTTAGCAGACCTGTATCTTTCCATACTATGTATTACACATTTTGTCAGTATTTCCCCTGTCCTTTTTATTTTATTCCCTTCGCATCTCTTCTCCTGGCCATGCTCCATCTGGTCCCATGCTCTGCCACACTTCTGGCTTTGCAGCATCCTCCATGACTTCACTGGCACCAGGATCAGCATTTCCACTTCCACCGCCTGCGCTGGTTCCACCTCCCCTGCCAAAAAGGCTCAACATAGCAGCCCCTGCTTGCTCCCCAGGATCCAACGGATCCAGTCCAATGGATCCAGTCCCTTGGATCCCCAGTGCTGTGGGGATGCTGTGGGGACAGAGGGCTCTAGGGACACCAGGCAGGAGCCATGAGGGAGGCTGGGGCAGGGGGACTGGCCAGGGTGCTGCTGCCCTGGCCCACGTGGGCCCTGCAGCACCAGTGTGGCTGCCTAGGCAGGCACTGAGCCCAGTGCTGGGGTGCACTGCCGTGCTTGAACACACACATGTGCACACACAGAGACACGTGTGCACACACACATGCAGACACGCACATAAACTCATGCGTGCATGTGCACACACAGACATGTGCACTCACGCACATAAACACCCACGTGCACACATATAYGCACACACATACACACAAGTCACACCTGCACAGGCGCCCCATCCACAAACACACGCAAATACCCTCGCACAAGCAACCTGCACGCACAAACCGCCTCACTCCCACAGCACATGCAAACACACACATAACGTGCATGCACACATGCACACCCGTGAGTGTGCACACATGTACACCCATACATGCATGCACATGCAYGCACACACATGTAGTCTCTRCCATGCATGCAGGTGCACACATGGCTGCACATACACACACATATGTGCACATACACGTACACATATGTGCACATACATGTACAYACATGCACACACACACACATACACATTCACCCTCCCACGCACACACTCACAGAATCCCAGAATGGCTGACGTTGGAAGGGACCTCCAGAGATCACCTAGTCCAGCCCCCGGCTCCAGCAGGGACACCCAGAGCACGGGGCACAGGGCGGCCTCCAGGCGGGTTTGGAAGATCTCCAGACACACACACACACTCACACTCACATTCACACTCACATTCACTCACTCTCACTCTCCCCCCACCCCACCCCGCCCCGCCGGAGCCGCCCGCGGCCGCGCGCCCTTGGGCGCCCCCTGTGCCCGGTGCGCGGCGCCGCAGGCGGCGGGGCTGCCGCGGGCCCTCCCACCGCCCCAGACCGGGCCGGGCTGAGCCGAGCCGAGCGGGGCCGAGCCGGGCTGAGCTGGGCCGAGCCGGGCTGAGCTGGGCCGGGCCGGTGCGCGCCGCCACCATGCTGGGCATGATCAAGAACTCCCTGCTGAGCAGCGTGGAGCCCTGGCCCTGCCGCGTGCTCAGGCAGGGGGCCGCGGTAGGTGCGCGCTGCCGGGGGCGGCCCGGCCCGTCGGGGCCGCGCGCACCGGCGCCTTTCCCGCT